ATATGAAAACATGATATAAAAAGGTTCTTCCTATAGCACTACCCTTAATTTTATCATCAGTACTACATGTATTGTTTTAATTGGATGATTGATTACTGGCACAAGTGATTGATTAAGGGCACAAGTTAAGGGTGTAATTGATATACCTTTTTTATATTAATTAATATAAAAAATAATAAAAAATAATATTAATTTTAAGAAAATAATTTTTGTACAAAATTTTTTGTTTTATTTTTTGTATAATTTGACATGTTATTAAAATAATTAGTTTTTTTAATTCATGTAGGATTAATAATATTGAATATATTAACTCATTTAATGACATGTGAAAATTATATGAAAACATGGTATAAAAAGGTTCTTCCTATAGCACCACCCTTAATTTTATCATCAATACTATATGTATTGTTTTAATTGGATGATTGCTTAAATAAATAGTAAATTTTATTTCTTCAATGATAGTTAATACTGAAAAGATATTCTTAGGCCACAAGTTAAAAGAACACTTAAAAAAATTTAAATTATTAAAATTGTTAATTAAAACACAACAATTTATTAAGTATAAAATTTTAAATTGATAATCGAACTAGAATTTGAGGCCTAATAGTTTGTGTTCAAGTTTTAATACTTGAGTTTAATTGGTCAAGAGTTCGAACATCCACCAACAACTTGAAAAAATTCCTCATTTCCCATAAATCTTAGGTTTAGTTAGTCAGGAGTTAAACTTCTACTAACATCACCAACGAGGGGTTGGATTAAATGGTAAGCGACTTGTTCCAGCTTAAGTAAGATCTCGAGTTTGAAACCTTGTGAATGCAGCAGCCCTCGTTGGGAGACTCACCCACCATTTCCAGGTGCGCGACGCGAGTCGAGTCCGGATTAGTCGGGACGAAACCCCGATATCGGACGGGAAACCGAAAAAAAAACTTCTACTAACATCTTGAAAAATTTCTCCATTCTCCATAAATCCCCATGTTCAAAAAAAAAAAAAATTGATAACCAGAGTTAAAATTTTTCTAAATTATTATTTGTTTAATTATAATTTA